ATTGGCTAATACTAGTGGAAATGCATAAAAGTGAAACTCAAAAATTGTTAATGATAATGACAGCCATATGAAGAAAATTACCCAAAAAGGAACAATTGAAAAGATAACGAAACAATACTGACTGTTCAGGGGGAATTAACTTATTTCACAATCTTTCCATCCGTTCAGACATCGTGTTTCGTCCTTGGTATGCATATGTAAATTCAAAGTAAAAGAAAAATCTGAAATTTTTCAGATTTTAAATTACGTCCAAAGGGGCGTTTTTTTTAACGTTTTGAGTGTTACCTTTATTTATTAAATATCATGTTCTTTGCACTTAAACCATAAAATTCAGTTCAAGAGCAATATCGCAAAATAATGTTAAATTAAGCATATCTTTAGAATTTCCGATATACACAGTCTCGCGAGCTGGAGATAAAAGTATTTTTTTTTTTATATAACGTTGCCATTTCTCGCTTTTAAAGCATTGAGTTTTGTAAATCAAAAATCGTTCGTTAAAGTTTTACAAAATATAAAATCTATAATAAAACAATTTCCAAATTTGGGATTTCAGATGCCCATATTCCCAGTAGGATTTCGTCATTCAAAATTCGATGGCTCTATGTACCATTGTTTTATCACAATGCGGGAAATAGACAATCATTTATGCAGATTTTTCATTATTTAATTTCTTCAAATATAATGCAGGACTCTAACATTTTGTGGCAACAGTTTGAAAAGTGAACCGACGTTTATGAGTCCGACGCAAAATGCCAAAACGAAAGCAATAGTCCTTCGGGACTGAAATCCTTTTGGACTAAAAATTAAATCTGAAAGGTTTCAGATTTTAAATTACGTCCAAAGGAGCGTTTTTTTAACATTTTACGTGTTACCTCTATTTATTAAACATCATGTGCTTCGCACTTAAACCATAAAATTCAGTTCAGGAGCAATAGCTCAAAATAATTTTAAATTGAGCATATCTTTAGAATTTCCAATAATCAGTCTCACCCGCTGGAGATAAAAATGTTTTTTCTGTACAACGTTGCCATTGCTCGCTTTGAAATCCTTGAGTTTGTTAATCAGAATTTCATTAAAGTTTTACAAAACATGAACTCGATAATAAAACAAATTCCAAATTTTGAATTTGGTCTTCCACATGTCCATATTCGTAGGAGGATGACGTCATTCAAAATTCGATGGCTCTAGGTACCGTTGTTTTAACACAATGCGAGAAATATACACACATTTATGAAGATTTTTCATTATTCAATTTCGTCAAATATAATGCAGGACTCTAACATTTAGTGGCAACAGTTTGAAAAGTGAAACGGACATTTAGAGTGAACCAACGCAAAATCACAAAACGAAAACAATAGTCCTTCATTGACAAAAGCCCTTTGGACTAATAAAACTTATATGTAAATATTTAATTCTCAAAATTTATCAAACTCATGCATATCAAGAATTCCCCTACACGATATAAATCAATGTAAAATTTATTTGGAACATCATATAAAATGAAAAACATTATTTATATACTAAAAACCAGTTAGAACAAAACGCATGTATCAAATCAATGATGCGATCAAAAGATGTGAAAATGTTTAAATAAAACATAACAATGTAAATGTAAGGAAAAAAAAGTTGTACATGTTATATTACAAAAATGTTTAATTAAATGAAATTGTCATATTTAAAATAACGAATTTGCCCAGAATAATTTTAAAAGCTAAAAACTTACTCTGCACATTGTGTTAGTAACAACAATGAACGTTTCTCCCCCTCTTAATTCCAAGCGCAGGCGTGTTTGTCTGTAGTTGCCAGGTTTAAGCAAACAGCAAAGATTAGGCTGGTGAAAATGGTAGTTATGGCATGGCTAGAAAGTGCGACTAGCTATTAAATCGCATAAGTAAGAAAATTTATTTCTAAAATTTCTGGCTGAGCGTCATAAAACAGAAAATAAGATGGGGAAAAAGATAAAAAGCTAAAAATCTTCACGCAAAACGAGCTGCAATTGCGTATCTTTAGTTTAATTTCTGTCTACCTTTAAATTTTACAGCTTTGTAAATTGGTATTTATGTAGACTTATGCAGTCCGAATGGACTTAAATTTCATTTAAAAACTAAAAAATAGCTCAGCCGTTCGCCGGCTGAAGTTAGGCCCTGAATATAAGATATAGCATACTATTTTAAATGCATGAGAAAAATAGAAACCATTCTTTTTACAGCACGCCAATGAAAAAAGGTAATGCGATTAAACCGCCACGAATGAGAATAGAGAGAATGCTAGAAATAATATGAGAGTTTGAACAAAATTTTAACGGAGAAGTGTAGTTTAAAAAAAAAATAAATAAATAAGAGAGTCCAGTGCTTTCTGACCGCAATGCCCTGCCAGTACAATTCTAGCTGTCAAGCAGAATGCGACTGGGCAAACAATTTCCCCCGAATCTGATCCGATAACAACATGAGAACAAATGTAAGGTTTGCACAAGTGACAACTTTTGTTCTCCGTATTTGGTTACATAGTTCAAATCTGCAGCAGCTCTGCAGTGAGAGGTCTCTAGCACTTGGCATGTAGGCCTAAGATAATCACTTTTAATACTTTCGAGAACAAAACATTTTACCCTCTTTCATAAATTTATTGCACTACCTGGAATGTAAGCATTTGACATATAGATGGGAGCTTTTCTCTTTTTGAAAGTCTTAACCTCCGTCAGGGTGCTTGTTTCCCAGAGAAAGACAAGCATGCAGTGGGAAGTTACAATTAATTTTTTAGAAATATTTATTTCTAAAATAAATTTTTTTTTCTGCTGAAACTGCGTTCTACTTCGATAAAAGTAGAGCTGGGTCATTTTATTTAGAGCTCCACTGCGCTCTGTCTAGAATTACGAATTTACCCTAGAAACTGATAAGAAACGGAAGCTGGGTTCCGAAGGTTCATGAGTAATTTAAGCTCTTGGTTACAACAAAATGATTTCTACAGACGTATTTTAGGGCAATTACCAACGTTAAATTTCATGGTTTATTTATGCTTACTGTTTTAGAAATTGATTTTACCGAGTTACTAGCAGTCACATCGTCACTACATATGTTACATTCGTCTTTAATATAACTTAGTATTTGCAGTCATATGCAGTCAGTAATCATTAAATGTTATTATTAACTTACTGAAATTGAGGCGATTATTCTCTGGTTACGTTTGGTTAACGAGAATGTAGGTATTTGCACAGCTTCCCAGATAGTACGCAGCTATTCAACTGTTTTATATTTGTCATTATATTTTAATACACACGAATGAGATGCAATTTGAAGTTTTATATAAATAAATGCACCGTAGTTTTCAGTGAAATTATTAAATATTTCTTTACGAGTTTCGAAGAATTTGTCCGATTTTTTCAAACTGCGTTATACTTTGTAATGCTAATTAATGATGAGTAAAATTTAACTTTTATTAGCCCAAAGGGAAAATTTGCCCAGAAGGGCTATTAATTTTGTTTTGGCATTTTGCGTCCGTTTACTATAAATGTCGGTTCACTTTTCAAACTGTTGCCACCACATTTTAGAGCCTTGCGTTATATTTAAGGAAATTAAATAATGAAGAATCTGCATGAATGTATATGTATGTTTCTCGCCCTGTGAAAAAACAACGGTATCTAGTGACATGAAATTTTGTATAACGTTGTCCTCCATTCGAATATGGGCATTTGAAAGCCCAAATTCGGTATTTGTTTTATTATCTATTTCATATTTTGCCAAACATTAAAGAAATTTTGATTAACAAACTCAACGATTTCAAAGCGAGTATAGCAACACTGTACGACAATAATAATAATAAAAAATTATTCCAGCTCGCAAGACTATGTATCGAAAATTTTAAAGCTATGCATTTTTTAAATATTTTCTGATTCTGCTGTTGAATGGAATTTTATGGTTAAGTGTAAAGAACAGGATATTTAATAAATAAAGGTAACACACAAAACGTTAAAAATGCCCTTTTGGGCGTAATATAAAAGCTGAAAACTTTCAGATTCTTATTTTTATATGTTTTTTAGCCCAAAGAGGCAATTTGCCCAGAAGGGCTATTAATTTCATTTTGCATTTTGTTTTCCGATTCAAATATTAGAGCCCTGCATTATATTTAAAGAAATTAAATAATTAAGAATCGGCATAATTGTATGTTTCTTTCATTGTGATAAAACTACAGTACCTAGAGCCATTAAATTTTGAATAACGTATGTCTCAACTTTAATATGGGCATCTGGAAGCCCGAAATTCGAATTTGGAATTTGTTTTATTAACTATTTCATATTTTGTTGAGCATTTATGAGCTTTTGATTAAGAAACTCAACAATTTCAAAGCGAGCAATGGCAACAGTATACGAAAAAAAATTATCTATAGCGCGCGAGACTGTGTATTGGAAATTTTAAAGGTATACTCTTTTAAATATTTTGTAATATTGTTTTTGAATTGAATTTTATGGTTAAGTTCGAAGAACATATTTAATCAGGTAGCACACAAAACGTTATAAAAAACCCCTTTGGGCGCAATATAAAATCTGAAACCTTTCAGAATTTCATTTTTAAATGTTTTTGGAATTAATATCTATTAGAAAAAAATCTGCCAAACATGCATACAGTATATTCAAAATGGTATATAAATTTTGCATTTAACTTTCATTCACCTCTAGGGAATAAAGGTCAATCAGAAATGAAGATGTGAAATGTAATGAATGATGAAAATTGGTATTAACCATTAATACCATTTTCCATCATTATTAAATCGAATGATTGAAGAAAGGAACTGAACATGGATTACAATGTCAAGGTTTTTTAAAAGCAAATATCTTTTTTGACCCACAAATTCTAGATCTGAATGAGCACTGATACGAAACACAAAATCCACCTCTAAATCATCTTCGGCAGAGTAAGTTTGGACAGTTAGTTGTCTCTTCTGGCGGCGCAAGCCTTTTACACGGTCAAAACTATCCTGGGGAGAGACACGCACGACAGAATATTACTTCCAAAGATCTCTCGGTGGAAAAAGACTTTTTATAGAAATTCGGCCAACACCGCTACAGAATGAGATAGGTGATTGTTATTTTTCTATCTTTTCGCCAATGGTACTCCGTTTCGTGGTACCCCGTTGCGTGAGAACCTCTGTGTCTTCTCACGCGGTAAAAAAAATCTTTATTTTTGTACCAACAACTGGGTGGTATAAATAGCTGGACATCGACATTCATGACGATCAAAGAGCTTTCCAAGACGCTGGTGACCATTTGCATAGACCAGTAATGTTATCTTTAAAGGTAAGTGAAATTTTAATTCCTTTAAACAGAAATTGAGTGAGTTTAAATGCATTGCTTTCATGACAGACTTTTCATTATCGACGCATTGTTCAAATAGGCTAGTGATCGTGTAAGTACATGCTAGAAGTTGGCTGAAAGCTACTAACAACTGCCTCCTTAATTTTGACTGTATGATTTTAGGTGCATAAATTTCATTTGAATGATATTATAAAGAGCAATATGCAGCTTCCATGAACGAATATTAAGCACGCTCTTAAAATTAAACTTGCTTGTTTTTAACTATGAATAAAAAAGTAGGATTATTTTTCCATAATTGAGAATTAGATTTCTAAGAATGAACAGTTAAAAAAGAAATGGTAATTATTATAAACTTATTTTTTAATCTTTATGGAAAAATTTATCTTAAAATATAAAGCGAATTTTATTCTTCTTTTGTTAAGATATTTTAAGGTTATTTCTGCTTATACTACTTTAATTAGTTTCTAAGTATTATTTGATAACATATGAAAATAGAAAAACATTTTCAGAGTGAGAAAGTTAACATTATTCCCATGTATGCTAATTAGATATTAAATATTTATTGACGTATAAAGGTTTCTCTTTTTGTACAATTCGTAATAAAAGTAAGTCATCAAACGTTAGAAGTTTCAATAACACACATTTATTTATTTATCAATAGCATATAAAAATGTAAAATGTTGCATTTTTATTAAAGTTAGTACAAGCATTCTAAACCACGATTCTAAAGACAAAACAAAACAACCCCCCCCCCAAATTCTAACAAAACAAAATCAATAAATAAAATAATAAAAAAAATTTCTTAAAGTTTGGCTTTTTTCAACATTTTGTGTGTTACTTTTATTTATTAAATATCACGTTCTTCACACTTAAACCATAAACTCGATTCAAAAGCATTATCGCAAAATAATTTAAAAAGAGCATATCTTAAGAATTTCTGATACACAGTTTTGCACGCTGGAGATAAAAATGTTCTTTTTCTCCTACAGTGTTGCCATTGCTCGCTTTGAAATCGTTGAGTTTCTTAATAAAAAATTCGTTAAAGTGTTACAAAATATGAAATCAATTGTAAAACAAATTCCAAATTCGGGTGGAGACGTACGTTATTCAACATTTTATGGCTCTAAGTACCGTTGTTTTATAACAATGCGAGAAACATAGATACATTTATGCAGATTCTTCATTATTTAATTTCTTTAAATATAATATAGGGTGATAATATTTGGTGCCAACAATTTGAAAAGTGAAACGCCACAAATTGCCAAAACGAAATTAATAGCCCTTCTGGTACGTTTGGGCTAAAGCATTTACTTCCCTGTCGGATTTCAATGAGTTCTTTTCAGCAATAAATATTTCCCTTCGAGAAAAGCGTCCAAGATTTTTCCCAAAATTATCTATTCAAGGAAAATAACGAAGATATAATGCAATAAATATAATAATGCAATAAATATAATAAGATACAATAAGTGATTGCAGTTTATGGATTTATTACAATAAAAACAAATGTGGTATTTACCTCGGAGTTATGTGTAAATATTCAAACATAATACACTTATTGTAAATTTCTGAGCTCCTTCTTATGTGGTTCAAATACATTGAAAATATTAGCATTAAACATTGCTTTTTCTTTTTAAAAATGTATCTGTGAGAAAATGTGCTAATGGTGTATTTTACTAATTGCAACGTTATGTTTCTTTTGAAATCATTAAATTTTTGTTGAGTATGCTTAAATTTCTTTATTTAAAAATTCAGTTGGTATTAATACGATAATTCAAAGCAAAACACATAACATCATTCTATCTCTGGCACTGAGCTTAACATATCCGCGTAAGAGAAGAGATGCATTCATGGAGGACTTTCTAAGGAAAACTAGCTCGTACACACATTACACACGAGGAAAACCACGAAAACGCCCAAGCAGCCAGCCCGCTCGCTTGGAATCGAAACCCAGACGGAACTACCAGTGTTCAGCGATTTCCCCGCTCGGCGCTGGTGGACCTATGGAAATGGCATCTCCTGAAAAATCTCGTATAAAATCTTGTTTATTGGGAACGGCTAGTATTTTTAAAATAAACATCCCAAGCGCCTTTCTCTTATTGTTAATAATTGTTGAATGGCTGTTACTTACGCCATGATCTGTTTTAACTGTTTATCGTAGATTATTAAAACTTAAAATTATTTTTTGTCATTATAAAGAATACGCATTATCATTTATTAATTTTAGGAAGAATTAAATGTATCATTTTTTTTTCGATAATTAATGTATTATCCCAGAAGGGCTATTAGTTTCGAAACAACATTTTGCTTCGAATAAGTATAAATGACTATATCACTTTTCAAATTGTTGCCAAATATTATGGCCCTGTATTTTATTTAAGGAAACTAAATAATGAAGAATTTACATGAATGAATGTATGTTTCGCCCATTGTGAAAAAACGACTGTACTTAGAAACGTCAAATTTTGAATAATATGGGTACCTTGAAGCCCGAATTTGGAATGTCGAATTTGTTTTATTGTTTAGTTCATATTTTGTAAAGCTTCAACTAATTTTTATTTAAAAAACTCAACAATTTCAAAGCAAGCAGTGGCAACACTATAGGGAATAAAACATTTGTATCTTCAGCGCCCGAAGCTGTCTATCAGAAATTCTAAACATATGCTGTTTTTAAATATTTTTAGCTCAATGTGGCGTTAGCCCAAATGCTCTCGAAACGTATATGTTCTGTAAAGGAAAAAATACCCGTTTGGTCGTAATATAAAATCCGAAAGCTTTCAGATTTTTTTAAAAACTAATTTTGAACCACCTGATATATTTACGGTACATAAGACCTAAGTTCAGATTTAGTATTCCCTTTGAAATAACCTGCTGATTATGACGTATCTTACATTACGGATTACCGGCTCATGGCATGCAATAATTGATACCTGCAGCTATAAATCTTAACTGCTATTTTTAGAATAAAATAAAAATCAAATGTTATTGTAAGATTATTACTTTAAGCTAGCTAATTATTATGACTTCGATTTTTAAATTCTTCTTCTCATATTCCTCACCAGAATGCAAATTAGCTTGTTCATAAATTTAAACTGAGGTTTTGGGATTTTGAGAGAGACAGCGTGCTTATGGCATTCGCGCATTGTCCTTAGATTTCTGCCAGCTCTAGCCATTACACTGACTACCAAACATTTGGACACCTGTGATAGAAAAGAAAAACTAACTTTATTCAAAATCAATGGTTGGTAGAGCCTCCACGAGAGGTAATTACAGCGTGGACCCTCCGGGGCATACTTTCCACAAATCTTTGTATGATAGCTAGTGGTATTTTCTTCCACTCGGCTTGGAGAAGACATAGAATTTCCTTCACCGATTTTGCACGGTTGATGCACCCCTGAATTCGGCGATGCAACTCGTTCCAGAGGTTCTCGATAGGGTTCAGGTATGGACTCTGGGCAGGCCAGTCCATTCGATGAACTCCACTGGCACCATACCAAGCCTTGGTTAACATCGAAACATGACAACTGGCATTGTCGTCCTGAAAATAACAGAGGTCCAACCCGTAAAACTGCCACAAAGCAGGAAACACATTGTCATCCAAAATAGTGCAGTAGGCATCGGAGTTGAGCTTACCATGAATGGGGACCAACGGTCCCAGCCCATACCATGAGAAACACCCCCAGACCATAATTCCACCTCCGCCGAAATTCACTGTTGGGACAATGCATTCTGGCAGGAGACGTTCTCCAGGTAGACGCCAGACCCAGACCCTGCCATCCGAGCGGTAAAGGGTGAACCTTGATTCGTCACTCCAAAGAACCCGTTTCCACTGATCTACGGTCCAATTTCGATTGCACCACATTAACCGAGCAGCGCGGTTGGACTTTGTGATCAAAGGCTTATGGGCAGCCGCACGACTATTAACCAAGCAGATGTGCTTCCTTACGGATGATATTCATTGAAACAATACTCTCGGATGCCTGTTGAAACTCCTCGCGGATGAGGGCCATCGGTTGGGTGCAGTTCTTCCGAATTTCTCTGGACAGCACTCGTCGGTCTCTATCTCCCAGTTTCGTCGGTCTGCAGACTCGGGGAACATTCCGACAATCACCGTTCACCTTTCACTTCTTAATCACATAGGCCACTGTCAATTTTGGGTACTTCAGATCGCTAGATATGTCCCTTACGGATCGGCCACATTTGTGATACCCGATAATTATACTTTTCTCGAAATCAGAGAGCTCCGAACTGCGAGGCATCTTGCATGCGACTAAAGCCGATGATGTTTCCTACACGATATATACCGGCGGAGTCTGTGACGTATCTTAGGACTACAGATATCGTCATTTGCATAGGTGTCCAAATACTTATTGGTAGTCAGCAATCGACGCTTTAAGCGCCGTTAGACTATTTGAGCCAGCTTAGTATTTCATTGTGCATAAGACTATTGATCAACGTTTTAAATTTATTTGACTATTCTTATTTTATTTGCATCGCCACAAGTAGTAGTTATCAGTATTACGAGCTACCATGTACTGTTTTGTTAAATGTTCAATTTAAATAAAAAGGCTGTTAAAAAACCTTCATAAGTCTTTGTTGTACTATCTCAAAACATAACGATAACTGGTCACATATCTGTTAAGGTTTCAGGACTAAAGTTTCAGTATTAGAATAAAAAAAGAAAATCTTAAAGGTTTCTGATTTTAAATTAGTCCAAAGGGGCGCTTTTTTTAACTTTATGTGTGCTACCTTCATTTATTAAATATCATGTTCTACATACTCAAACTATAAAATTCAGTTAAACAGCAATATCGCAAAATAATTTTAAAATCAGCATATGTTTAGAATTTCCGATACGCAGTCTCACGCGCTGGAGAAAAAAATATTTTTTCTGTACAACGTTGCCAATGCTCGCTTTGAAATCCTCGAGTTTGTTAATCAAAAATTCGTAAAGTTTTACAACATATGAAATAGATGACAAAACA